AACCATAACGTGGCCACACGGTTAACCGTCGACCGACGACGCCCGGGTCGCCGGCCCGGTTAGCCGGGTAAGCGAGGTTAGCCACGATGGAAAACTACTATTTCATTTACGGTTACCGTTTCGGGTGGCGCTAAATAAGCGAAACCCACAAGTTGCGTAACAACCGTCTGCGTTTTCATACACTTCATTAGATAGTGCTGTGGCCTTTTGTCGGTTTGGCACTGACGCTATTGTTTTTAACTAATATGTCAACGGTTTGCGGTTTACTCCAGCATTTTATTCTGTTTCTGTCCATAGAAACTTTTACTGAAGTAGACATTTTATAAAATCGTCTACCTGAGTCCATCTATTTCTGCCGTCAATCACCTTCCTTTGCAAGATGTTTCGGTTGAAGAGTATAATGCAATAAAATTACACCGTACAGATATATGATACCTCAGTCTTCCTCAAAGAAAACGCAAGACTGGTAACACGGACGTCACATGCCAACATTCATGTAAATTAGTGACAGTGACCACTTACCATCAAGTGGACCGTCAGATATTTTACCTTAGAATTAAATAAAAAATGTGATGTCTATAATAAGGAACTAATAAAGATATATATCTACCGTAATTTACTAACAATATTTATAAGTTGTTTACTAACACAGTATGGGCGAAAATCCGAAAAAAATGAATAAATAAATACTGCTGTTGATATATATAGGCGATGGTTAATACTTAGCATGAAGTATGGCATGAGCCACTGCAATTGCTATTCCAAATAATAAAAAAAAAGTTGTAGTCTTCATTATAACAAGCAAACATTACGGCAAAACATAGTTGAGACAGAGATACTAACATATAGAAGTACATACCAGACCACATCACAGGCAATAGAACACCTTACATCTGTATATTAATTCAGTCAATTAGCGCTCAGGGCATTAGCACGTCGTTACCTCGACATCGCGTACTAATCGCAGCGATTGCTGACAAGGCGACGACTGTATTTGACACCTGTCAAATTGGATTGCATCCAGCTATTAAGGGAATGTCGTCTACGAGTTCTCGCGCTGTTAGGATGTAGTGGATATGGCGCTTTCAATATGATATATTTTTGTAATAATTAAAATTAAACCTATTTTCAAAACCACAATATTTGTTTTAGTACATTAGTATTAAAAAAAATTATACATATATTAGTATTACAATATTTTAAAAAATATTGTAATACTAATGTATAATTTTTAATTATTGTACATTTTTATTAAAATTACTAATTTAATACTTTGTATTAAAAATACTATTGATTGTAGTGTTGAGACATTGTAAATTATGTAAACGGTATATTTAACATGACAAAATTATTTTATTAACTCTTTATTTATATATATTATTATAACGGTGAATATCCTATGTAATGTATCTAATTATATTAGGAATTTTTGCTAAGTGAACAATTAATGTTTTTGTTTTAAAACAAAGAATTTTCACTAATATTGATAATTTTGATTCCATGTCATAAAAATCTAAAATGATAGCTATATTGTAGGACATTTAAAAAAATGTAACTTAAGGTCACTTTTGAATGTCAAAGAATATACCGATTAAAAATATCTGTTATTTTTTTCTTTTAACATTAAATATTGCACGTATGAGACGTTGGTATGTATAAGACGTTGGTATGTATAAGTCATAAGTATAAAATGATAATTCATGAGTATAAAAATGTGGAGCGTAACAGCGTAATGCAATATCAATAGACCGGAAATAGTTTCAAGAATCGACAGATGTCTTGATACGGGTTTTGAATTTGAATTTTCGATTCGATACGACGTTCTAGACCCCAGGAATGATGCTAACTGAAAAGACACACAGAATAAAAAAATATTTTGGGCTTATCCATATTTGATATTGCTCTACACAATAGAAATTGAGATGTGTAGTGAAGTGGAACGAGCACTAGACTGCAGTATATAAACCTATTTCTATTACATCAATTAATGGAATAGAGAGACTAAACAGTTTGCTGTTATGCAAAGCGTTACATTACCAACTATACTGTACTCTTATTGACGTTCTATATTTAGAATTTCAAAATGAATATTTTTAGATCTATTAAACCATATTCCTCTTTATGTTAATTTTTGCAGAGTCACCAGCTACACCAGCTTGTATATGTGTACATTTTAGTACTTTATTAACGTATAACATTAGCCATTCCATTCATTATATACATTAGCGATATTTATTTTGATGATAAGGCTTAAAAACTATTTCAAGAGAAAACAAATAAGATAAATCTGTTTTCCTAACTCCAAAACAATGTGTTTGCATAATCACATGAAAAATCACATGGGCAGTCTAGCCACCAGTGGAGGATAATAGGATAAACATAAAGTCAGGTCAGTTAGCCCATCGTGGGGAATTCAGGAAAGACTAACAGACCTGAGGATTTCTAATGTGTATTACTAATAATCCCTTCTTACTTGGGTAAATATGGTTCACAGCTTCAGTTCTATTGTAGGTACGTAATGTTCCGTCTTGAGATTTTTGTAAGTCCATAAAAAAAATCTTGTTTATCGTGTAATAGTCTACGAAGCTATCAAAGCGTTCACGTCATTCATTTGCCTTGTCACGGTGAGTGCGGAAATTGTGAGCTCATAAAAACGTATCGTGAGCCGGGGGCATTAAGTAGGGGTTATTTATTTAGGCGCGGAGCTCCATGAGCCGCGGCGCGCCGCGACTGGCACCAAATCAGTACATCACTCACCTTTGACTCACCTTATTCCAAAACTGAGTTTTTAATCAGTTTTAAATTTGTTCAACCTATACCAAAAACCTACCATACCTATATAATCTATTTTGTTTTTAAGTGGAATATGACAATCTAACAGCTCTCTTGACGGAGGTATTAAATATTTTGTAACCAATATTTTATTTTAATTTGTTCATGTAACCGACTACTTTATATTCAACATATAAGATGACTTTTATAAAAACTCACGAGAGTTGTAGTTGTATCTTATTTATTTTTGGTAAAAAGTAGAAAAATCTTCAAAAGAGAATCGACTACCTAAGGCGAGCGTGTTCCTGTGGGATTTACATCCCATGGAAATGCTTTCGCAGTCTAGTGGAGCCCAGACGCAGAATGAATTTGGTATTATTTTTTATATACAAAACAGATCAGGACAAAAATTAAAAATCCCTTGTCTAGATATTTTTTTCTCAATTTGAATTAAAATATTAATATTGTACTAAATTACATTATTAATGATTTAGAATTTCGAATATACCAATTGATTTATTTGCAATTAGTTTCATAAGTTTTAATCAGTCGCCATTTATAATAAAAACTTGTACATGTACATATTTATTCTAAACAAAGAAAGCAATATTATCCCTGCAATCGTTGACAATTTTATAAAATTGTCAACAATTGTATAAAATTTTAAAAAATAATTTAGCACATTAATCAAACATTGTACAAGTTGAGTAATGATTATCTGAGTGACATGAAGTGAACCCCAAAAGCGAAAACAAGTGTGAACGCTGTAAGCGCTTCTCCGGCCACGTTAATAAACTCGGATAGGCCACAACAAGCCGGCCGCGTGTTCGCCCTCCATTTTTAACGAGCCTCACCGCCGGGCCCAAAGTAGCCTATACATGAAATCACGTATGAATGAGACCTTTTTTCAGTTTTTTCGCGTGTAGCCAGCGTCCAGGCCCCATTAAAGCTTACATGTCACTCTCCCGACTCCCCGTTGGTGTGGGCGAGGGGGACGCTGGAAAAATCGCGAAATCGGTATTGGCTGCAACCCACAGCGAGTGGTCGGCAAAGCTCTCTACAATACAGCTTTGACGGACGGTCATTTAATATTAACTGTGGTTTTTCCGCAGATGGAAATGTTTTTTTTTTATTGGCGTTACGCTGTGATGAAGTGGTCGCTCTCGTTGTTTGTGACGCGCTCTGATATGTTGCGGGTTGGGATGCTCTTTTATGCTCTCCACATTTGAATGAGATTGTTTCATTTCGAGTACTTGTTTTCATGCCAGTTAACAAACAATCGTTTTATGCTTTTGTAATATTGCAACAGTAATTAATATCCCATCGAAAAAGGAAGGTATAGTTTTATTTTAATTTGGACGTACTTATATCGAACTGGCGAGGGAGGAAATGAAATATCAATTTTCATAGACAATTATTTCTGTCGCGTTGGTGAATAGATTGTATACCGCGGACCAGAACAAATTTCATTGGACACCCAAATTGAAAACAAACCGGGCAATAAATTTTTAACTTTTCGAACAAGCGATCAAAATCAAACTACAAAAAACGCAGCTGAAAAGTGTTGCGACCACAGAACGAATTTATAGCTTACGTTCACTTTAAGTGAAAAGTTTGTGCAAATATTTTTGGATTTCATTAATAATTCTGCATTCATGTTTTCACAAACGGTCTCGAGTTAAGATGAATTACAATTTTGAGAACAATACCGTAGAGTCGTATATCCTTACAGTAAATAAGCAAGACGAACTGTCTCTGTATGTTTTATTAAAAAAAAAGTTCTTAAAGACTAAAAGCTCCTTCGACGTTTCGACTAGGTTACACTAGCTATGGTTAAGATGCGATTAACTGTATTAACTAAATGTATGCATTTGCGTTCCCCGTACCTTAAATTAGAAGATTGTACATTTAACATTATAGGACATAGTTACAATTGTTTACATGTTGAAGGTAACGACTGTAGCTGCCCTCAGATAGAATTTGTTTCTCACTATAAGTACCTTGGTCTTATAATTGACCAGAGCATATCATGGCGATTACATGTAAATAATGTTAATAAAGCCTGCTAGTGCAGCTTTAGATATTAGATCTTTCAAGCAAAAAGTACTAAACAGTTTATATTAAAAATTAAAACACTCATAAAGCATATCCTAGACTAATGCATATGCAAATTTACGCAAGCAGAGGACACAATTAGTAAGTTTGTTAAATTATTGTAATTGTTGCAGGAAAATCATTTACGTTGACGATAACAATATCGACGACACCGCCGCAGGTCACCACGTACAACAAGGCCATCAAGGTGACGGTAGATGGACCCCGGGAACCACGCTCCAAGACCAGTTAGTATTGCTGCTCTATTTTATCTTAATATTAATATAAGTACATCAAAAATCTTATGAGTTTCTTGGACTAGCAAGCAAATTTACTATAGTGTTCTGGCGTATTTACAAAATTAAAATAATTGATTGATATTTATAAAATGAGTTTATAAATAATCTAGATTCCCGATATTGACCGTACAAATAAAATTATAAATTATGCCTATAATCATTATTTTATATGTAATTTGTTTCGTCTCTTGCATGTTAGAAATGACAAAATGTGTGAAACCAACAATAATGACTTAAAAAAACACATTCACATTGCATGTGTTACACCACCACATTTTAGTAATAAATATTAATTTCATTTCTATTGACGACTTATAACCAACGGTTGTTACTTTAAATATGTAGATTTATATTTTTGTTTAACTGTCGAGTGAATGAAATGCTTGCCAACAGCGTTTCTTTAAAAAAAAAATTTTGAGAGATGGCGGGCAATTGGCACAGCCCGTACCACGTTAGATTCAAATATACCCAACAAAATGTGGACATGTCAAGTTTGCTATATGCACTATAGCGTTGATTAGTTGATATCAATTAACAACGCCATAAAATATTTACTATTTTGTAATAATTGTCGCCATAGCTTATTATTATGAAATTTAAATAAATTAATTTTTATATTGGTACTATATATAAGATAAGAGAGAGCTAGTAGATTAATGTAACATTAGTTTAATGTAATAAAGAGGAAAGATATGTTTTGTTTTATAATGTATAGACCAAAAGAAATACTTAGTCAATTAAAAAACCCTTCACCTAAAGAAAAATGTAGATTTCTTTAGGACAAGCTTTGTTGATTTCTTTAAACAGCTGGACTATAGTTTATTAAATTTACACTCGTGGTTGTACGAGTACGAATAGACTCGCCCTGGGTGGCTGTAGCGCAGTCAATAAAGTAGGAAATCTCCTAATACAAAAAATATCTAATTTATCTAGTTCAGCAACTTACCTGAATGAAGTTCATGTGGTGATTCTCAAATATCATTCTCTAAACGTTTATTTAAAAAAACAATCAACTGTTTTAGAGATAATTTCAATTATACATATATTTTTTAATAGTTCAGCCTATTTGATTTATATTATTTGTTTCGAAAATCTATCTATGAAATTAGATAAATAACATGTATAATTTTTATGATCAGGAAATGTATACTTCAATTCAAAATTTGTTTATAACTAATATATTTCTGTGTTAGTAATAATTTACGTAACACTAACAACATCAAAGGTCGAATTTCAAAACACTCCAAAACACAAACAAGTGTAACCACAAAACATTGAAAACAACCGCCCTAATGAAGGTAATTTATTAATAATTTGCCAGCAGGTTGTTAGTAGAATTTACCTTTTCAAATGCGCATCGCGTGAATTTAACAATAAGATACGGGATGTCCTCTAATGTTTAAAGAATAAACTATATTATATTAAACTTAATTACTTAAATTAAAAAACATAAAACGGTGTGTAAAAGTGTATGAGCACAAAATCTTATTTAGACTGTATATAGTAGACATATTGTAAAATATAATGGGTAATATATGTATGTATGCAGAAAAAATAAGGGAATCCACGGTACAGAAAAAAATATTATAAACAAGACTATATTAACAAAAATATAAATATTTAAATATAGGAAGTATCGTGCCAGCGGAAGTCCTTACATCCGGGCTACTGTCGGATGTAAGATCCTCTACATTTATTTTTAATATTATGTTTTACTTCTAATCAATGCCAGCCTAAATGCGCGAGATCTGTAGCAATTATTTTTAAAAGTCTTGGTTTTGTGATCTTATGAGATATTAAATAATAAAAACTCAAAATAATAATGTTAAATTAACTTTTGGAATTTATAGAAGAAAAGAAATATTCTATAGATGGACTAAGCTGCTAGCATTATGACCTCCTTTGAAATATACTATAAGTTATTTATATAAATATTTATTTGTTTAATTTAACCGAATTCAAAACACTGAAAACAATTTATTGTAATATAAATCTTTTTTTGGTGGGTACGTAATATTAAATTATTCACATACATATTGCTAATGCTACAATCTCTTGTACCAAGCACTCTAATATTCGATCACGTGGAAGCGTTCAGATTTCCATGTTAACACGCCTCGGAACTTACTAGAATTAAATAATTTATCGCACAGTATAGAGGCTGGAGGCATAATAAATCAATATGCAGGGCACATGCACACACGCGGTGAGGGGTTACGTCCCACCCCGCGCCCTTTGGCCCTTTCTTGACTAATTAATTAAACAACCGATTCATTACAGCAGCCTCCTTTGTGCCCTCACATTCGTCTAGCGAGCTAGTGTACAGACAGCAGAACAATTCTAAAATAAAATTAATTCATAAAAATTCTTTATGTACATTTAAATTTATTTATTGTAATATATCTATGCTAATAAAATCATAATATTGATTAATTATGAACACGCCAAAATCCGCTTCAAAACAACACATCTTAACACAGCTATAGAAAGGTGGGTGACGACTAGGTATAGTAGTTAGTCCCTTTTATATATATCTACATAATATAATTAATAAAATATCATATGTCAGATAATTCTATATATTGGTAAAAAATCATTAAAATTAATTCTGAATAAATATTATAGAAAAATCCGCTGAAATCCAGAACTTTCGTCCTTTAGATTACATTTTCATGTGAGATAATTTTATTTATTAAAATTTTTTTTATTATATTTATGATTATATTATAGTAGTAATGCGTAATTATTGTGTGTTAAATTATTATTTTGCGAAAATTCGTTTTGCGTAATTGGCAGAAAATAAATATTGAATATAATATAATAGTTATACTTAACTTATTGTTAACCTTCTAAAACTATATTTAAATAATAATTTATATATCGGTACAGCAACATCTTCATTCTATTTCGTATTCATTATACCTTATTAAAAATGAATCCATTGGATAACGACTGAATAGCGGACGCTACTCAACCCTTTATCGCCGGCAGGGGTCTGAAAGGCCGGCACTATCCCGCCGCGCTCGCAATTATTTTAATTTCTCCACGTGAAGGATTGATCGAGCATTAGGTGTGATTTGGAGGAGCGTCGAGAGAGACGCTTGTCCTGTCATTTGTTACCGTCAGTGTCCTCTTAACTATTTAAATTGCGTTGTTAATCGATAGACTTGGTGGCTTAGTCGAAATATTGTTATATAGGTACGTTTGTATCACTTTAAACGGCGTCATTGGTCAAGGCGGGGAATATGCACAGCATGTCAACTCAAGGAATGCAATTGTTTCTTTACAGAAGGTATTTTTTTATAATAAAAAAAAATTGGATAAAATATATGACAACATTTTTAAATATATATTGTTTTCTGGTGTCTGTTCTCGCCTGAAATTGTTGATGGGATAGGCAGAAAGATTCATTCTAGTGGCATTGGTTTACGTCCTTACTGGTATAAGTCGTCTCATGTGAACTCTTAGATCTAGAGATATTTACCTCATGTACCATGAAGCAATATATGGCGATCAATTTACAACCAAGGCTTCCATAATAAATATCTGCAATTTTGCACGAGTACTTAAGATTTTTTGTTATAATGTGCGCTAAAGATTTGACACTAAGACATATCTATTCTTTTGGTTTATTATTAAATTATTATAAAATTAACAATATTTTGTCTCATATTTAAGACATTCTTATCTTTTATCCTACACTAATCGGAACAGATACTACATAATAAAATACTAGCTGTCTCGCTACCTGAGCCTTCATGCTTAACATCTCCAAATAAATTCTTTATCTATAGATTCTTACACTTAAAAAAATGAAACAATTAAAAACAATTCAGTATAATAAACAATGCAATACTTTAATTTGACTTTTTATGTATATTATTATTATCTATTTTAATGAAAGCTGAATAATAGGATAACATAGTAAGCACGGATGTTACCCCCTACACCTTACACCTATTTTTACACTCCGGGTGGGTGGCTGGTTTTACAGCCGCGCTGCGCAGTAGCCGCCTACGATTTATTAATCGCCGGACTATTAACGATGTTTTTCTTAAGGCAGCAATAGTCGGCTATTTTGGGTATGACGGGGCAGACCACCCGCGGGCGGCGCTATTGCAGTTTACGGGTTAACTTTTGTTTACTTCACACGACTACATATGAAAACATACGTTTCAATATTTTATTAGTACTTTACTATTTGAATGCAGTAAAGTTAAGTATCTAGTAAATATTTTTCAACTAACATCAAAAAGGAAGATATTTTTGATTTAGTTGTATTCATAGCATAATAATTATAGTAATCTACAATGTCATTTGAAGACTGAGGGTAGAACATCTTTCAATATTATATGTGTCTGTAATAGATCAACATGAATAAAGATATTTTGTTTTTCGTTTTTATAGATAGAGCTATTATCCACGTCCAACGGCTTTTTTTCTTTGGAAAGAAATATTAATTTTGACATTATTCTATAGTTACTGATACAATATTATCTTACGTATGTGCTGATAGCAAATAGTAGAGTAACAGTAGAATATGAGTAGTCCGAGTTTTAATTAAATTCTCAATTTAAATGCATTATTGTAATTAAACAAGATGAAACTAATTTAAATTGGCTCTTAATACTATGCTTATAATCAGAAAAGCTGGGATAACTAGTAGAAATACTTGGCATAATAAATCTAACTAGACCGGACACCACCCCTGTGTAATCCTTTAATCAGGTCCACAGTAGCCCTTGCCGCACCCTATTTTTCCCTCCCATCTCCCCCCTTCCACCCACGACCCCTCGAACGGTGCAAATGACAGTTTCTAATTCCAACTTGCCATGAAAGTGTGTAATTGTTGCGCTGTTGATTTATATACTGGAACCTTTGCACGGGAATTGAGCATGTGTGCCCCATGTCGTAGGTGAACGATAAATGCGATTCCATGCGACATAAATTTACTTAGACACTTATATGTTTACGTATTTCTCAGTAGAAATCATCGTGGCCTATTATAGCATATTACCTCGACTTACATCCAAAAGGTCGTGAGTTCAAATCTGGCAGATACTGATTAAAAAAATATGTGTGATAATTAATATTTCTGACAAAGTCAGTCCGGTAAAGGAATACTATTAACAATAACAAAAATTAATACGAGAGGGGGCGATAAAGTTTAGTTGTTTACCACGTTAGATTTAAATATGTCCAGCGTTATGTCAAGCGTTTCCGTGAATCAATAATATTGAGTACACTAATTATATTTGTGACGACGAAGGACACAAGTCTTTAATCTCTAATATAGTATTTATTTAGTTCTGCAGTCCCAAATGTTTATAGTGCCCATTTAATTGCTTTAATAATTTTTTAAAACTTTCTTCTTAAAATTACTTTTTTTTAATTTTCTACTAAATAAATAAAACGTTTATAAATTACATGCTGTATCACTCGTCTTCGTCCTTCTTGTGTGTCATGTCAATCCTAGTAACACGGTCTATGTTTACATTAAATTTCATTAGGATCTATTTATCCATGTAGTTATAAAAAGTGTCAAACAGGCTGACAGATAAATTCAATCTTTTTTGGACATAATATTAAAGCAATTGTTTTCACGTTAAACACGTATAACTTGATGGAATAAATCAATGCGACGAAATAATTTATATTCCATAAACAACCCTCCTGTGTCTTCTGTTTTCTCTCGTGAACAGAATTGAATTATGTCGCGTGTGTTCCAATAAACAAAATATTTATGGTATTATTTTTATATCGGTTTTAATTAACTTGTACGTTATGTTATAAATGCGATATTTGTTTATTACACAACTAACGATGTGTGGATGTTGATGATATTGTATCACCGGGATAGCTGAAAATATCTGGCTTAGTTCTGAAAAATATGAAGGATTATTTATTTATTAAATCTTTTATGTACAAATACACAAATATAGATGCATATGGTGGACTTAACACCATGAGGCATTTTCTCCCAGTCAACCATTGGGCAAACAGAGATCTATGTGGGCAGTGCATTAAATAATTAATAATAATAATAACAAAGATTATAAACTAGTCCATAATTATATATAATACATAATATTGAAATAAATAATTACACATATACTCAATATTTATAAATATGAAAAATATATTCGTACATATACATACATAGACATACAATTAAATATATACCTATACAAATCAACAGTGAATGTTTAGATGCGTAAGTAAGAAAATTTTTATTTAACTGATTAGACTGATTTAGGGATAGATATTGGCGTAATTTAGATTTAAATATGAATTTGGTAGTGCTGGATTTTATGTCAAGGGGTAAATCATTCCAGGATTATTATTTATAGGTTAGTAATTAAGCATAACACATTTACATCTATACCGAGTACTTAAAGTGTTCCGTCCTCTATACCTGCTAGAAAACTTATTTCATATCTTAAACAAATATACTTACAATTAAAATCGTATTAGGTATATGTATATTGCTAAAGCAGAAATTAAGTGGAATCGTTTAAATTTAGAGGGAAGTTGTTTTTTAAACTCAAAATAAATGAGGTTCTATTATCGTAATTTATGAAAGTTATTACTTATGTTTTGAACCGTCAACATACAATTAACTAACCCATTGATGTAACATTGCCTAGACATAGGCAATTTAATTAGTGACGTCAGTTGTAAAGCAACACGATTCGGAAGTGCTGAGTTGTGAATGGGAATAGAGAATTAGTGCGCATTCATTTATTAGATAAATTTTAGCAGTATACATGTTACTGATTCATTGAAATCAACCAATAATTATGTGCATTTCCAACTCCCATTGAAAAGAGTAGGGTTTCAAATCATTCTATTCTTTTGTGAGTATGTTGTGCTACAAAACTAAACTGATTTAATTTAACGTGTTTGTGTTTAATAGTTTTTTAAATATTATTTTCATTTAAATGCTAACATGTAAACTTAATGAAGTTTGTTGCTCTTTCACGCAAAAACTACTGAACGGATTTTGCTTAATTTAGATTAGATTTAGATTAAACTTATACATCAGAATAACACATAGGCTATAATTTTAAAAGATATTACGTAAATTGGGCGAAATATAATAATATATAAAATAAATATCCTGTAACTGTGTGTCCTCAATAATCTCGGGTTAGTAATTAATATTTATAAAGTTTATTTTTGGAAGATAAAAATTATGTTCTTTTAAAATGTGTATCGTATTAAACATAAAAAAATATGCAATCTTACCAGACTACAGAAAACTAAAATGAAAGTAAAAGTTCCACTACCGGTCACTAAGTAGGTACCTACCACACTACCTGCTATTAATTTAGCACGAAAGATTTTTTTTTTATTTTCTAGTTTGAAATAGGTATACGATACATTTATTTTGTTCATTTGAATGCTCGATAATTTTATCCTACATTCTAACACCAATGCTGCTGTCAAATCGGTTCCTAGCTTCAAGTAAGTGCAAGACGTTTAATTTATTACAGTACAGAAAATCCCTCTAGAGGTACGTATATCTCCCAGATAGATGTACAGTTGCTATTGAGGGTGTCACAAGAGTCAATGAATTATCGAGTATCAGACAAATCGGGGGAAGGAGGGTTGAACTTCCTAAGAGAATTTTGTTCAATGACATGATATGTCCAGAAATAAGTATCAATGCTATTTGGTCGTTGTTTTTTTAATTTTAAATATAATGTTACAACATTTGTTTAAAAGGGCAACATGAAAGTTTCTTCCTCATTCTTCTTGTGATGAAACAGATACTCGAATTGGTGGTAGATTAAAAAATATATATGGCTATTAAAAAGTGTTTAAATTTAAGTATATTCGAATAAACAATTGTTAGATTTCGGCAATAAGGCCGCTCTATTGTAATTATAGATGTGTTCTGTAATATATCGTTTATCTCTTTGTTTTACTGTAGGTATATTACTTAAGAAGAAAGAAAAATAAATTTATTTGGCGCATACAAAACATTCATATCAAAAACATATACCTACTCTATTTATTGGATATTTATTCAAGTAATTTTATCACAGTAACTATATCGTTTATATAGTCTGTACTTAATTACTTACTTATTTATATTATATTATTATATGTATAGAAGCTATTATTTTTTTTTATATAGTTTGAATGGCAGACATACTGACGGAACGCCTGGTAACCATCATCCCCAACCGACATCCCGTTATAATGTGTCACCTTACTAAAATCATTTACTCTAATCCTGTATTTTCACTACCTAATCTGACCCTACAACCGAAATACAATTTAAAGCAAGCTGCTTGGCTGCTGTAATAGAATAAGAATGCTGCTGTAATAAGAATAAGGTACCTACACAAACTACTTCTCACAATCTAGCTCTGGTGGCTAGTACCTAAATTGCTGCAGAACTGTCGTAAGTAATCGATTATGTTTGTGATATATATTATACTCTATAATACCTACGCGTAACTTACATTCTTGACGTAAGATATATCTATCTAACACACGACTTCACTTCTACATATAGATCTGGTCAACTAGTTATAGATATAAATATTATTATAAGAGTGCTACTGGTGAAGAGCAGCCAATATCGTACTGATGTAGTGTTGTCTCTATTAGGGCAACAACAGCAGTTCCACTTCGCGTTTGGGCAGCGGCCGTTCCCGTTCCCGCCGGATCCTCTCGGCGGGTTCCGTATGCCGCCCATCACTACGTGTCAAAGTGAGTATACCCAGTTGCATTTAGATATCCTACTGAAAATGGGTTATAATTCTGTCGCATAAGTACTTTTATAAGATATTACGAAATGGCAAAGATTTATCACATATAGTAGTTATATAATAATAATAATAATAGCTATTTTGGAATGTCACTTTTTTATATAATTTTTTTAATTTACTACGTCAACGACAGTTTCAGTTGAGAATATTTGACATTTCAGTTTATTTGTGACTATGCATGTTTGTTATTAAAATTTTGGAAAACAAACGGTTATCATTTCTATTTCATAAAATTTCTGTAAAAACACTTAACTTACCTATAGTATATCTAGTCGCTGTTGCTGATATGCTGGTAACATTGTTTCATGGTCTTACATTTATTTATTATGTATATTAAGCTCCTGGCTAAAACCGCAAAGTTATCATAGTATTGAAGACTTGTTTACAATAATACAGTAAATACACATATATATAATAATATCATAAATCATGTTTAACTTATAAACAGTTTGTACATTCATAATGTACATAACGTGCTTATACTTATATAACTTAGTATATAAGTAATATTAGCGGTTCTAAATAAATAGCAAATGTGTATTAGTATTTGTATTAACAGACTAATTTTATTGTGTGTACCGTGAATCATTAATGAATATTCATCAAGGAATAATTTCGCAAGTCCACAGTCATAGTAGTGATTTACTTTATGTTCATTCACTGTACACACAATATTAGTACTACCCACAATAAGTTGATATTATTGGTAGTAATGTGTACGTTGGAAAAAACACTAATTTTGGATTTAACATTTTTTGTCATAATGATATATGTGTGTGTATATATACACTAGTATACATAATACTATATATATGGTACACTAGTAATTACTAAGTTGATTCACGAATTTAAGAAAATATATATAAATGTCATTGGGAGAATTGCCATCTAAGACACAGGCACGGCCTAGTTTAGATGCCAGTGGCACTAATAAATTTAAACCAATGATTTATCTTACATAATATTCTAACATAATAATTATAGCTAATCTCGTTTCACGTACTTGTATAGGATTGTGTCTATTGTAGTCTTGGGATAGATACAATAATACTTTATAGTAATGTCCGCTAAGTATCATTTTTACATCCACCTTTTATAAAACAAGTTTTTGTACTATTTACTTGTCTTTGTGCTAACTGATGAATTCTCCATAGTCTTGTGTTGTGAAGTATAGTGAAAACCTTGTAAAGTATAGATACATATTGCGTAAATAAATTCTATATAACATCCGTTTAAAAACCACCTATGATAACTCAATATTAACATTCGCTGCAGGTGCCCACATAAAAAGCCTATGTAACGTGAATTCGTGTTAATATTGTAAATAAGTAGGTACTTAGTCAACTATTGCGTTCTGAATCATGAGTAGTATTATATTAAAATGCACTTGTTCATTACCAACTACACATATGTATATAGTTTTAAATAAAAGTGTATTTTTATTTTTATTTTACAAATGTAAGAATGTTATGTGATGCAAATTTTTGTGATATTAATAATAAATAAATAAAAATAAATAAAATTTAACTTTATGTATATCAAATGTTTTAAAACATAAAATTGAATTTATTAATAACACAACAGTAATATTTAATATATTAATGATAAAAATCAGCATCATACAATGATCTAAAAATGAAGACAACCAAACCAAACAGCAGTTGAAAAGCGAACGATTCACCAAATCACGCGGCAGATACGCTAAACTACGTTCACTAGAGCGCGGATTCAATCAAGTTAGCAAAAAGACTATCGAACTGAAAGCTGACTGTGGGCACAAACGAACAAGTATCCACAGAGCCCGGTAAAATCCACGGCTACCCCAAAACAACCCGTGCGGCTCAAAACGAAAAAAGAATCACAAATCGACGCAGCAAACGCGCAGATAGCGTATAAAAACCCGACTGCGCCGATCGCCGGCCAAAAACGGAACCGTGATACCGAAAAATAAAAGCCCGTAATACTCTGAAAAAATAGAGAGCACGCAAAGCATGAACGGCTATCGACGCGTTTTGTTCACTCATTGTATTTTTATACTTGTGTTGTTTGTTTATAGAACTTTAATAACTTAGATTTTACATTTTCTCCTTTCTATTTGAAAAGAGAAAATTTAATACGATGTAATGATACCACTACCTATATTATTTTACGGTCCGAATGAAGAATAATAATTGCGAATTTTGTCTTTTTTATCATTATTAATGTACATCAAATTAATAATTACAAATGAATAAGAACATTTTTATTTTCTTGAAAATCTTAATTAAGTATTTTTATTAGAAATTAATCTAAAACAAGACTATAACGAAATGTTTGGAACAATGTGATTTTCATTTTTAAATTTGGTAGTAAGTACTTAATGTTGGACATATAAATATTCTTATGTTCATTATATTTACATTTACATAAAAATGTGAAGAGGGCAAAAATACCTACTACATACATAAAAACGCGATAAGAACACTACTCGTATTATTTTTCGCATATTATAATTAAGCAATTCTATAAGACAAAATTTATTAAAATCTATTGATCTTTTTCTACAACAATTAAAATAAAATATGGATATATATATACCAAACATTGTCGTCCCTTATTACGCAGACATATAATCCTGTAATAAACTAAAATTTATTATAAACTAAAATATATCTAGTCCTGTTATCTATGTGCACACTCTCGACTGATTTTGTTGGACGATTTTCTCCTGATCTTCATTAAAATGAAACAAGATACTAGTCTACATTTAAGATGTCTAGAGTTTATAGCACTGATATTTTCGTTTGCAATTTTATAGATCACATAAAATGTGCTAGAGAACTACTGCCAAAGTTTGCAGAAGTGGTAGAAAGTATCTTATTTAGGAGACTATTTAAATTAATAGTTCCGTTTTGGTTTATATTACTTTGATATGATGTTTATTTGGTAAAGTTTAAGTAGTTTTATATTTAAGAAAAAAAATTACATCGTAATATAAAAAAAATAAGAATACATATAAAAATACTTTTTAATTTTTTTTTAACTGTAGGAAAAATGTTTCTATCTTTTGTTATTGACTCCATAACACTCTATTTGTCGATAACAAATCTTCTGATAACAACCTCAGCAGTCTAGTAATTCAGCACACCACGTTACTTCCAAGAGTCTCGAGTTCGATTCCTCGCATTATGTAAACATTTGTATTCACGAGTATTATATTTTTTGCTCAGAATGCATTGTTTATGTGTTGTAAACACATAAACTAGAAACAAACAAGAAAGATATATATTTAAATATTTCTATTAGTTGTCAAGTACCCATAACACAAACTCTGATTAGCTTGGCACTAGGTGATACTGTGTGAACTGTCTATAGTTATTCTTATTGTTAACCTTTTTATTTGTATAGATATGAGCCAATTTGGGCTTAGTTCGAGCAACTCGCATTGGGGATACGGTGGTGCGGGTGCATACCCAGCGTACCTGCCGTCTTGTGCCGCGCCAGCAGCCACGCAGTTCAACCCTCCCGCCCTTGGATTTGCGGGGTCCGTACCCGACCAGACGCCTTCGCAGGATTTCTCTGCTAATAATACGGGTAAGAAATATACAGCATTAGAATATAATACAAAATTATTTATCCAAATAAACACAATTAGTGAGTATGAGTCAGTTTTTTAAAACATGGTAATATTTTAATACAAAATGAATGTTTATGTATGTTTTGTTATAAAGAAAGTAAAAACAATACTTAACCATTTTAAATAAATGTTACACCTCTTGAAAGTGATATAATTTATAAAAAAAAGTTGCTCTTTAGTACTATACTGTTATTATCAAGTGTGTATACTTAAAATGTATAAATTAAATTGAAAAAATAACCATACATCTTATATGAAATATGATACATTTGCAACTGCAAAACTTGCAGAGCAGCAGCATCTTGAGAGTAGATAACTACCTCAGAAACATATTTTAGTTTTGTTAAACTAAAGTCCAGTCTGTTGATATCTTATAATATTAAAGGTATGATCTGATTAGATTTATATCTCTTAACTACAAATGTATCTTTAAATAACACACATGTACTCAAACTAGTATGAAACTAAACACGTGCTACATTAACAAGATTTCTGTTATTTTGGAAAGTTATTAAAACAGTGATCGATTTATGGTAGGAGATTTATAACTATAACTCATTAAACCAGTAGGGTGAAATTAAATCCACCAACATGTTTTACGATCAACATCCTCCTTAAAATGGCGTGGATGGCGTGGATGGCGGAGACGCGCATCGGACATTAAACTGGCTCTCATTATAATTTACAACGGTTCGGATGCGACCGATCCGGCGATGAATTTATTGCCGATGCGTGCCCGCCGCTTGCCATGAAAAATATAGCTCCGTATTAAACTAGCCGTACCCGCGTTTATCAATAACTGTTATTTTTAGTATACCTTCATGATTGTCATCACAAATAGGGTTTCATTTATGTAATTGGAATGGCAAACAGACTGACGGTACTGCTATATATGAACAGCACTGCAGACATCACATTATTATGTGACATCGGTCTTACCATTCATGCGCTACCTCATTTCGAACTCATTATCCTATAATTTCCGGCTTTTTGCATCCCATAACTGAAACTTATAGTGTAGAGCAAACTGCTTGGCGAATGAAATAGTTGAGACTAAGGTACCCATTACTACCCTTGCAGACTTTACAGTCTACTTCTGATCTTTCCACTGTTATAACTGTGCTGTGAGTAGTTACTAGCTGTCACGTTATTTGAAGCTAACATGTTAAATAGCTCACTATATCTTATATATTGGCTCATATTCATTCCATCTAGCACTTATCCATAAATATAAAATGATAATGTTTTTTGGTATCGACAAGTATCTATACGAATTTAGGGATCTAAATTTATATTGTAAACCACTAGGCCCCGAAGTTCTTAACTAAAATATTTAATAAATATATATTTACTTATTTCATATATTTATTTGTTTTATTTTGAGCAGTTCTACCGGATACGACTGGTGTGGACTTAGACCAACAGCTGTCAGGACTGGTCGGATCCTCGCCCTCACATCACGGAAGTCTTCTACCACGGTACAACAACAACGCGGACTATAGTCTCTCAACAGGTCCTCGATCATTAAGCGATAACAGTTCCCAACCAGAATCACCAGTACAAGATGATTTACTCACCTCTAACACTACAACAAATATAGGACATAATCATACAAATAGTTCAAATTTTACATCCCTAATGGGATCTCAGAACTCGTCGTACGGTAGTAGTAATTGCAACAATTCGTTGTATCCAGTCCTCCCCGCAAGTTTGTTGTACAGTCAATTGTATACAGCTGCGAACCAAACGCACAACTTTCATCCACTGCATTCAAACTCCATACATTCGACGCAGAATCATCATAATGAATTGCAGACGATGATGGATCAAATATCATCGACCACAAGTAATCATAGACAACACGCGAACCATGGACAAGGTGATTTGTTATTAGGAGCGGGGAACTCGTGTGCCGCGGCGGCGGCAAGAGGAGAGGACGGTAGAGTCAATAATCTTGGACAACGGGGAAACCCACAGCCTGATAGTAACACTGTATGGAGACCATACTAAAATCAATGTGACACTTCTTTCTTTGCAATGTGATATAGTCAAGGTTAGTTTCAAATTCTTTACCTCATTACTAGAATATTGCTAGTGCTTAGAGGGATAATTGACGGAAAATTATTGTACATTGTAAATTAGGTAATTGTGAAAAAGAAAGAAGTTGTCAATATAGAGTAAGTCTTAAAACGATAGTGCAACGAAATAGCTGATATCTACGATATCACTGTAAGTATATGTAATATACTATAAGATACGTTTATTAGGCAATTCTTGCTAAGAATTTCATTTCTTGAATCTCCTTCAATTTTTAATTTATATTTTTAATTTCACTTATCTATAGAATTATAATTATTTCAGAATATAATGTCTTTCAGAGTAGAAATTCATATGGTACATCCATACGAATTTCTGCGATCCACTCTGATGTACTGATATGATTTTGTGATAATTATTAACTGAGGTAATTTTGCATGTATTTTGCTTAATTTTATATTAGCTATTTTACCCACTTTAGCCTCTTTGAAGATGAAGGTAAATAAATAGGAAACATATTTTAAGAAAGGTCTTACATATGAATGTGGATGGATTATAAGGGCGAAAAAGAGATGGATGGACTGTGTAAAAGATGATATGGTAAGAAAGGAAGTAAACAACGCGATGACTGCGAACAGGGATGAATGGAAGAAAAAAAACATATTACGCCGACCCCAAATAAATGGGATAAGGAAGAAGCAGATGATGATGATATGTACTTTTATTTATAGAACTTATACGTTCTAAAATATTTTTTTGAATTATAATACGTACAGGAGATGCAATTCTCAGCAAGATGAGCCTTTTAATTTATATAGAAAAATTTATATAGTTCTCGAAGTTCGGTCCCGTCCTGAAATTATACGACTTTGTTTAATAGAATATCATAATATTGTCCATGTTTATTTTAGTACCGAAATTACTTCGGAATTTAATTATGGGTCTCTTCAATTAATTACAATTTATTAATAATGAAATTAATGCAATATACATATTGATAATAATTAATGAAAAACATATGAAAGTTTTAAATTTGAATATAACGAATTTCTCGTTACATTTACAACATTATTTTACAGTATAAATAAATTTCAATTTTACCATATATGGGCCTTTATTGTATTTTCACTATAAGAAAATGAAGCTAATAACTGAGTAAAATAATGTTGACCACACCTTAGACAATGTAAAGAGGCTTTTACATTATTAGTGCATGTTCAAATGATACTTATGGAAATGCTATCACATTGTTAAAATTACCATATCATGTAATGGTGTGTAGAGAGGCACATAACTAAAAAACGAAGCAAAAATGCGATATTTGTCAGTTCCCGTCGTGGTCCTGATTTTTCCGATCCGTGTGCAGAATAAAATAAATTTGCAATATTGTTTTGTTTTTATTAGAGAGTCTGTTTTAACAGTTTGTGGTATAAAGTTCATGATTGTCATTTTATAGGGCATAACTATTAATCACATAAATATACACGATTTATGTTTAGCCGTGGATAAACTACTTATTTTTATACTTAGGTTTAATATCAATGTTGAGGCCTTTTACGAGGCGAAATATACGGTATATCGTTCACCAATTTTACTTAAACTATGAAATATCATAAACTTTATCAGAACCTGTTAAACAGATCCGTAAGATTGTAAATAAACTGTGAATAAATTGTTGTAACGCATCTTGTAAAGTGCAATAGATGTGCAATTAATAAAGTTGAGTAGATATATACTGGTTTAATTAGTGTAAGATACACTATCTGTTGATTATGTGAACTATGTCCATATGTAGATACCTATTTAGATTCTGTTCAATATTATGTTGTATCGTAAATTTTTATTTGCTATGTTTATCAATCTGTCGTTATTTAGGTACATGTGCCAAATATGTAAATAGTAATGATTTCAGTACATCTCGATAGTTTTTTATATGTTAGCTCTAAAATATTCAAAGTAAGATTAATTGTATAAAAACAATAATTTTGAGGTAAAAATATAATTTCTGAAACTGACAAGAATATATAATCTATGTAACATTATTTCATTCAGTATGAATTATATATACAATCAAAATTCGATAGAATTTTATATTTGAATTTTGAAAAGAAACATCGTAAATACTTACCTATCTACTAATTGTTATAACCAGTGGGATGTGTCACGAAATTGAGCAATATCAAAGTACATATGTAGACATATGTACTTTGAGAGTATTGTGAGTATAATAATACAAATAATAAAGATCACGTCTGTTTTCAGTATTAGTTATTGGAAACTTCTTTACAATATTGCATTGTATACAGGCTATTAAAATTTATAAAAACATATAAAAATATTTTTAATTTTCATAATAATTCATAATATAAATCTGACAACACATAGTCTTCGCGGCACATCACAATAACAATCAACAAAATTATTACAAATCCCAAAATGATGTTAACAATTTCTAAGTATATAAACATAGAATTAAATTACAACAATTTCTTTTGGTACATACCTACGTCTTATATTTGATTTAATATACCAAAATATTATATGTGACCACTACAAATGTCGCCACTTACATTTTGTGCAATATTATATTGTTTTACAATTAAATTTAACTTGCATAGCAATTCTAATTTCATTTCTGCTTGTTGTTGTATTTATGTTCACTACAAGTAGAGAAATAAATTTTACATTAAATAAATTTAATAAAGTTTTGATGTTTTATATAACCTTCCATCCTCTTATCCTATACACTAAAATACCGACGAATGGATTAGTAAGCATAGTTGCAACATTTCATCATGGTGACTGTAATACTTAACACTATTGACTTTGATAAGTTTCTAGTACACGAAAGTGAGAGGAAAACAGAAAATACACTTGTAAAACTCGGACATAAAATAACAATAAACATATATATCATTACAGGTAGCCTCAGTTTTGTTATATTTAAAAATAAAATAAGTATAATCAATTATGCCAATTAAATACGGGTATTTGATACACGTAGTAGATTTTATCAGTGATTTATTAACCACGTTAAAACTAGCTATATCCTTAATAGCCGTGAACACAATTTATAAACGATTAAAATATTAAAATGCTCTAATGTAAATAAATACATTTTCATATTTATAATATAAATTATAAACTTGTGTCAATTCGCAACAAAATCCTAATAAATGTAATTATACCTATGAGTTAAATAAAAAAGAAAAATATTAAAAAAATAAAATTTAACAAAAATGGATAGTAACCAGTAACCCTAATGAGGTCATCATCACATCAGGCACACATTTCCATATTACCTGCCGCTCTGTTATTTTGGTGTCGGCAAACGAAACCGAAATAAATAACCCACCCTCATTAATTTGCGCCAATGCGATGGATAGACCAACATACGCCCATTGCCGGTGTGTAGTGACACCATCATTTAATATAAATTCGGACAAACGTTTTATAATTAAACTGGTATAATGTCTGTATCTCTTTTACATTAGTATACCTACCAAAATGTATGATTTATGTTGGCACTTAACTTGCAGGTGCAGATGTAATTCATCGTAATTATGTATTGCAACTTATACAATAAAAATATACTGTTGTAGAGTGGCGAAAAAGCTTAAGAAAATTTGGTCATCGAAATGTGAAAGTGAAAATTTCCCAAGGTGCACTTTGTTCTAAGTCACTTGCATGGTCACTTCTATTTCACCAGTTTCAGCATGCTTTGTAAAAGGGGGTTACGGCAGTGACATTACGGAGGCATGTCACCTTAGTCCTCTACAATAGCACCGCAATACCATGGAATTGACACTGTAGCCTGATATCTGCGGCACTATTCACTTCCGTTGATATATGGAAGTCATTCAGAACTACAGATTCATTATTGATTACGAAAGAAATAGATAATTAGCTGTTATCTGTAACTACATCAAATTTTTAGTATAAAAGGTAACATTATTCCGTTCTTGTAAGAAAATCTTCATATCAAATATTCAATCATTTCTAGAAAATCTCATTTAGTCATGAAAAAGTAAGAATAAGATTGAAGAACTATAGTACTTCTCCAATCTTATTGTTAGTGTTTTCGCTTACATTTAAATAAAAAAAGTTCCTACTAGACAGTTTAAAGTCCATTAACAAATAGTAATGTATAGTCATCCGAGGATAGTCGATAATTATATGCAATTCGAGCGTGTCGCTAGTACGTACACTGGTAAAAATCGATGCCAGACGGATTTGTATGCCAATAATGAGATTTAAAATTGTCAAGTACCAAATTAATGAGGATTAGTGCCGTTCGCGTCAGAGATAAATGCATGGCACACAAATTATACATAGGTAGAGATAATTAAAAATACTATAAAACTTTGAGGGATATGAAACAACAATTTGTAGATATATGTATCACAGAAGTAAGTATACATTACTGTTTTTTTAAGTTGATAAATAAAATTAACACTTTGTAATATACCTATTAATTCAATAGGTATATTATTTATATTAATTTCTTTTTTTTTTGAGTTTATCGAAATCATATTAGCTGACTAATTCTATTAATTAATTGTAAAGAATTATGTTCCATATATTTGGTTGTAGGTAGATTTTATTTTTAACAGTACCCAAACATGTTCTGTTTAACCAGTTTGTATAAGAAATTAAAATTGTGTTTTTTAATACTTTTACATTACTTCTTCATCTTCATCTTTTTTTCCGTTTGAATGTTCTTTGGACTTTTAATAGAAGACTAGAATAATTGGACTAGAAATATTTCGAAATCAAAATCAGCCAATTGGTCCAACCGTCTCGAGTTAGCTAGGTAGTTTAGCAAGTGTAAAAAGAGTAACAAACATCAATATATTTTTAAATAGTTATGTGGATATTATATGTAAGCCTTTTATTCTGATTAATATTGTGCTAAATTCAAATTAGATAAGGATAAGACAAGATAAATTTTTGAATGAACTAGCAACTGCCCGCGGTTTCGTCTACTTTTTTTAAGATATAATATAGTCTATATTCGTCTCCGAACACACTCTATCATCACTGAAAACAATCAAATCGATTCAGCTGTTTAGTCGTAATAAAGTGACTAACAGAAAGCCAAACATATTTTACATATTTTAGCACTGTTGCTATTTTATCTGTACTCGCGACTTCGTCAGCATTAACTTTATTTTTCTAAAAAAAAAGATATTACTAAAAAAAAGTAGCCTAAGTTACTTATTATATCAACTACCTGTCAA